TCCCGAAGCAAATCGACGCCCAAAACAAAATCCTGCATATTAGTCAGCACCAAGACAGCCTACTCAAAGCATCAGTCACGCAGTTAGAAGCCTCAGAACGATGCTTCAACATGAAAGTAAACTGCTGGATAAATGCCGTCCATGAAGCATGCCATGCCGAAATATTATCCTGCGAGGCGAGGTGACGCATTGCCTCATGGTCCGTGTAAAGAACAAATTTTGATGGAAAAGGTAATGGCGCCGACATATTATTTCATAAAAAAACCTTGGTCAATAAGAGAGGGAGAAGAATAAATGAGTCCTCATCTCCTTAAATATTTATCTTGCCCAGGGACGGATCTACATGTAAGTTGGGGGAGGCCATTGTCCCCCCCAACATTTTTTATTTTTTCTACTAAGTATAAATAAACTTATATTTTTATAATAATCCTCAAATTAAATAAATAAGTTAAGGCTTTGATAATCAATAGTCTTACCTCAAAATAAAGAATTCAAAGAAGAGTATTAGTAGAGGTATAAGTAGATCTTGTACTAATTATTAAATATAATAAGTAGATTTTGTAAGTCGTCTATAAATACGCTTGTATGTAACTTAATACGAGAAATAAATTTAATATACATAACACTTAAGATATGAAATTTAATATGGTGGGAATATATGATATATGGTTATAGAAAATTCGTACATGAGATTATTCTTTTATTTTTCTGGATTTTTATATTGTACATGTTCGAGTGAATTATTAATATGTTTTATATTTTGTGAAATTAATTAACTTTAATTGCATGCAAAGTTTGGAAGTACATCTTTGTTCTATTATATGGAATACGTGATGTTTTTGAAAATTATATTATTTACCGCCTCCCCCACTAAAATTTTCTGAATCCGCCCCTGATCTTGCCTAACAAAAAAGACTAGATTAAGATAAATAATTGCCTACCATCTAGACAATGCAATAAAGGTACTACTAATAATAACAATTAAAATGAAATATATGTATTAAAGCCAAGAGCTGATCATGGTTTTCAAGAAGGTGAGCACAATCTCGTCCTTCTCAATATCTCATTTTGTTCATCTCCCCATTGGCTTCAAAACCCCTAAGAGGATACTTAGATACAAGAAAAAAAAAAAAAAAAAATAATCAGTCATTTTTAGTCACTTGTTTTAACTCAACCCCACTATCTTCAATTTTATCAATATAATTAAATAATATCAATTAATCATTTTTACACATTACATCAACTTTAGTTCATTATTCAACAACTCACATAATTTAACTAATCATCACTTTACATCATCTCTTTCCTACTTTACATCAAATCAATTTTAAATATTTTAGTTTAAATATTATTTTGATATAAACTCATAATCTCAATAACAACTAACCATACCACATATTTCAAAGTTGACCAAACCAACCAAATAATCAAAAAAAAAAAAAAAAAGTTATATATCCAAGCATCCCATAAATCAATTTTAAAGTTCGATTCCAATTCATTGTTAATTGAGTTAAACCCTTTTTATTGTCTTAGGAATTTTAAATGTTGAAGATAAAATTGTCAATTTCGTTTATTTTGGGAGGCAATTTGTCAATTTTGAAACTTTATATGACAAATTTAAGAAAGGGCATATTTTAGGAGGTTAAAAAATATTTCCCACAAAAATGTAGAGGATCAATTTCCAAAAAAAACTCAAAAGGTTCAACATATTGTTATTCAATTTATAGAGATATAGAAGTGACATTGCAAATTTGGTGTGAGCAAAATGTACACTTAAGTTGGTCGATCCATTGTATAAACAAAATGTACACTTGTATTATAAAATGTCCTATTTTTGTTTATGTGATAATTGTCTGTTATGACATTTTTATGATAGTGCATATGTGAAAATATGTCGTTCTAACAGAAATTAGCAAGCAATGATCGCAATTTCATTTCTCTTAGTTCCAAAAAATATTACTTACTTTTAAAATTTTAAAATATTTGACTAACTTAAATTACAAAATAATATAAAAGTTAAATAACTTTTGTATATTCTTATCAACTTTGCATGATATATCAAATGAAACATCTCTTAACGAGCTTCAATTTCACATCTATGTTGCTTATATAAAATAAATAATTATAATAATTTTTGTAATAAATACCAAATTATCTATTAATATAAGTGGAAAATAATCCAATTATCTATTAATATATAAAGAGATAATGATATTTATTTGTAGTGGTAACTAAAAATCAGTAAAAAAAACATTTGGTTTCCCACCTAAAAATTCACATTTACTAAATTAGACAATTTTTTTAGCCAAAATTTGAAAAATCCTGCATAAATTAATGTAAGTAATGTTCATAATCATTTTGGTCAAATATTGCGACTAGTACTTTTATTAGTTGCATGATTAAATTTGGAATGTAGTATATTGACAAAAGTTGCGGCTATAACCTTTATTAGTTGCATGGTTTAAATTGGTATATAATATATTGATTAAAAAAAAATTCTATTTAAAATTAAAAATCAAAAAATAATTATTCATAAATTACGGGTTAATATTGACTTGGACGTAAACGAAATAGTCAATTATTTATAATTTAATAAATTACTGATCAGCTACACAATTTATTTGATTTGAATAGTTTATACAAAAATAAATTTATTTTAAGTAATGAAACAATATAAAATTTTATATTTATACTAATTATTCACATAGTTTGTTAAATATATGATAAAATTTACTAAAATAACTATTTTATGGAATCACATTATAGTAAAACTGAATATTTGTATAAAAATTTTGAAATGACACATATTTCGAAACAAATATTTATTACCAGTTATGTGCACGACACGAGTTGTGTACTAATTTTAAATAGACATGTTTATGTGATTTTGCACAATTTAAACTTTATATAACATTTTCAATGAATTAATATACTTAAATTGTATTACATATTGATTCCATATTTTTGATTTATAAATATTTTTTAATAGGAATTTTTAATTTATAAATGTTAATGAATATTTTTTATCCGTGCACTGTACGGGACCATACTAGTTTATCAATTAAAGAAATTTATCTATTGAGTCACTATATAATACGAGCTAGAAAAATTATTACAAAACATAAAACTGGTAAGTCTTACATGTAACGGATGTCATTTTAAGAATTATCATTTTTTTTTAAAATGGCCATTCAATTTTTGGTCAAACCTCTGTCTTCATTAATTGCTTTCCATTAATCGCAACTTTTTTTTTTTATTTACGTACCTCATTAATTAAACTGCATTAATTAAATTAAGTGCAATTAGTTGTTACATTGTAAGCCCACAAAATGCGGTTGTATCCATTTGTTTGGTAAAATTTGAAATTTGGTGCAAATTTTTTTTTTTTTTGGATAGTTTAAAGACTAATATGAAGGGATTTATTCCTTCAAAATACACATCTATATATCTATATAATAAGAATAACCATTTACCAAAAATAGTAACAAAAATTAAGTCAGAATTTAATGTTGCTCCATAAATAATATGTTCTATTATTTTTCTTTAAAAATCATACAACATTACCTTAAATTTCGAGCTTTAGTTCATTTTTTTATTTAAAAAATCCGGCTAAAATCTATTAAGTGAACTAATTTTTATTTTATTTTTCTTTAAAACAACGAATAACATTCAAATATCAGTCTCTATATTTATAAAATCTCAATTCCAATTTAACAAAAGTTTTAGAATCTGGGTCTTTATATTTGTGCTGTTCAAGAAAAAAAGAATATTGGACGCTAGAAATTGTTTTTTAAATTGCATAATCAATCAATTAATCTCAATTTTTTGAAAATTACTGTTTATTTTTTATTAATTTGCATAAAGTAAAAACGATTAATTTGTCTTTGGATATGTAATTTATAATCATAATATACTATCATTTGGTGTAGACATATTTGGTGTAGACATTTATTATATGAATCATCAAATATTTTTATTTCATAAAATTAAACATATTTAAAGAAAATAAAGAAATTTCTTTGAATTAATCGAGTGATTAAATTAGAATACTACCCAAGTTGATTAATTACTTTTAGGTGATATTTAAAATAGTCAAAAAACTTGACCCAACTTAGTTGGTCCCATGTGACTAAGTTATGTATCAGTTTGACAAGACCAAATCGATTATTGAACCTAATTAAAATAAATTTTAATATTGAAAATACTTTATTACGTGAATGTGATGCAGTCCATAATTAACAATACTTTTATGACAACATGTTTAATAATTTATAAATATTTGTATATCATTTTATTAATATTTAAGTGAATAAAATACTACTTTATTATAATTTTTATTAATGTATAATAAATATAAGGTTTTCTGCAAATTCGATAGAGATGAAATTTGAATTAGACTGGGGATTCGATAGCAAATATTTTATTCAAGCGAACTAGATTGGTTCTAAATCGGTTCTCGCTCTATCATGTCGGACTGTGTCCAACTCGGTTTAATTTAAAAACAATGAGTAATTCATGATTAATGTTATTTATATATTTAATTTATAATACAATCGTAATATTATTTTACCGTGCCTCGGACGGGACACGCACTAGTAACAAATAATGAAGTTTCTTAGAAATATATTTGAAACTTAAAACAAAGACTTCTCTCATTCTCTCTCATTTAATTTAAGTGTAAATTTCTTAACTATTACCCATGTAATACAAGTCTACTAGTGTATAATTAAACTGAAAAAAATAATTGTTTTTTGTTGTCCAATGCTTGACACTAAATAATATCGAGTGAGTTGGTATAAATATTCGATAATCAAGAGTAAGAGCACAATTACTGGTCGTAAAATTTTAATACTTGGGCATCACTCACAAAAATCTCAAAAATATGTGTGAAATTATGTACTTTTTTGTAGGTTTTTCTGATCGCCAAAGATTTTGGAGCATTGGTTTTATCGATATTCACCCTTCTCCACCGGGACCGAGTATCAGGCTTTGTGACGATGGGTGTACCGTTCATGCTCCCGCGTCCGCCCACATGGCATCACCACCTCCCAGAAGGCTTCTACATTTCGAGATGGAAGGTTCGATGTGTTTCTAGTTTTAAGTACAAATGTTCCCCAACTAGCTTAGGGAGGTGTATTGAATTGCGATTTCTAAAGACTTTTTAATACTTTAGAAATCGTGGTGTATTTAATTTAGGCTTTTTAAGACTTTGAAAAGTCTTGGGATATTCATTTTGGATTTAAAAAATCTTACAAAATTCTGAGGTATTTCACTTATTTATTTGAGATTAGACTTTTTAAGATTTGTTAGGATT